TACTTTTCTATGCTTCCCCAAGAGACTTTCTGGTTCAGACATCCACAAAGAGAAGGGAAGAAGGCAAATGAACTACAGAACATGAGCAGTGTTTTGCCAACATGACAGAAGAAATAATTTAAAAATACATTTTGAAGATGGTTTCCACTACAATTAGACATGTAGTATATCTCTTTTATGTGTGAGTGACTGACACTACCCCATTTTGAATGGAAAGATAATTATCTTTCAAGATTGTTTTTACATAAAGTAAAAATGTGGAGGTATGTTCAGTGCATGTGATGAACCTTTTATGGGCAAAGAAGAGTTGCATCTTTTTATTAGAAAATTATTTTCTCTCCATCCCAAGTAAATAAATGTTAAACAGTTGAAGATTAATGGTTCAAAGGTGTGCTAGCTCATTCTCCTTATGGAGTTCAACCATTTGATTCCAGACAGGTCCTTAGCTTTCCGGCTTCATTTCTGAGACGTTCTTCCCCAGGCCCTGTGGGAAGTCCCCTGTCCACACACAATACAGCTAACGGCCAACTGAGTCCAGGACCTTGATATTGCCATCTAGTGCCAAGAATCCATAACCTGAAATTTCAGTACCAAATGACCTTCAGTTTCCAAGGCCACCAGCACCACTATCGATATGCTGCTCGAGTCACTTCATGATGGCCAAGAGTGAATTGAGGGCTGTGTGCTGCTGGGGTTCCTTTTGGGGTGTCAATAGTTTGAAAGGTTTCTGAGAGAATTGCAGACTGTTGAAACTCACAGATCTGGGGGTTTTGCTGGATGAACAGGATGTGGACAATGATTCCCTTCTGTAATGATGTTCTCTCAATGTTGCATTTTTACATTATTAATGTATTTTTTCCCAGTGTTTCTTTGAGTCCTGTTGAAGGCAGCCCCGTTGTTATGGTTTGCATATGTCATGTGCCCCAACAGCTCATATGTGAGACACTACAAGAACATTCAGAGATGAGATGACTAGATTATGAGAGCTGTGACTTAATAGTGGATTAAWCCACTGAAAAGTATTAACTAGATGATACCTGTAGGTAGGTACAATGTGGCTCGGGGAGGGAGGTCACTGGGGACATGCCTTTGGGGGTATATATTTTATCTGTGGTGAGCAGAGAGCCACCCCCTCGGCTTCTTGGTTGTCATGTCCTGAACCTCCTTCCTCTGCCACACCTTTCTGCCATGGTCTTCTGTGTCACCTTGGGGTCCAGAGTTAGGGAGTCGGTCGACCATGGACTGAATCTATGAAAACATGAGCCAAAATAAACTTTTCTCCTTTACATTTTTCTTGTCAGGTCTTTTGGTCAGAGCATCAAAAAAGCTAAAATATCCATCTACTGTAGAACCAGCATGAATTGATTAGATTCATTTTTCTTTTTTTTTTTTTTTGCATTTTCACAGCTTTTTTGAAGTAAAATTATAACCATAAAGCATACTTTTTATAAAACTATACTTCAAAGAATGTCAGTGGATTTCTAGATTCCTGCAACCGTCATAAACCATAATCTCCAAAAGTTCCTGCCTGCTAGTTTCTGTTCAATCCCCACTCCAACCTCTATCCCCATGCAAATGCTCTTCTGCTTTTTGTCCCTGCTCTTTGCCTTCTTTGGAAATTTTATATAAATTGGATTATGCAACATGTGGTGTTTTTTGCATCTGATTTCTCTTAACCTAGCATAGTGTATTTGAGGCTTCTTCATATTAATGCATGTACAAATAGTTTGTTCCATTTTTGTTGCTAAATAGTATTCCATTTCATGGATATACTCTATTTTATTTATGCACTTAACAGTGGACATCTGGACTGTTTCCAGTTGTTGTGTTTATAAACATTTGTGTATGAGTCTTTGTGTGGACATATGTTGTCATGTCTCTTAGAAAGATGCTTAGGAGTGGAATTTCTGGATCATGTGGTAAATTTATGTTTGACTTTTTAAGAAGCTGCCAAACTGTCTTCTGAAATGACTGCCATTTTATCTTGCTACTAGCAGTAGAGGAGGGTTCCAGGGTTTCCACATCCTAGCCATCACTTGGTACTGATGGTCTTTTTATTATAGTCTTTTTTGTGTGTGGTGTCACCTCATTGTGGTTTTTATAACTAGTGATGTTGAGCATCTTTTTTTGTGTACTAGTAGCCTTTCCAATACCTTCTTTTGTGAAATATCTATTCAAATCTTTTGATCGTTTTTAATTGGATTGTCCATTTTACTATTGAATCGTAGTTCTTTATAAATCCTCCACAGAAGTTCTTTAACACATGACTTAGACAACTAACTATTTTCTCCCTGTCTATGCTTGTATTCTCATTTTCTTAAAGGTGTCCCTTACTTTGATGAAGTCCGGTTTATTATCTTTTTTTTTTTTCCTTTCATGGATTACCTCTTTGATGTCATATCCACGAAATCTTTGTCTGACTCAGGGTCACAGTGTCTGTAACTTCATTCCCTTATTCAAAGCACTTAATAAGATGTCACCTATGCCAGGTGCCATGGGAGGAGGGGGCTGATGGCTGAACAAGTGTATGGAATGCTTCCCCTGCCTGAGGAGCTCTGGCAGGGTTAGAGGCACAGGAGAGGAAGCATCTGGTTGCTTTTACAGAAATGTTTGTAGTTGAAGCAAAAATGAGGGCTCAGAGGAAAAGCAAAGGTCAGCTTGGGTGGATGGTCTGATAAAGTTCTGGTTGAGTCCTCAGAGATCAGAGAGGTTAAAATAGTGTTCTATGGCCCCAGAAGACATTAGGCAGAATGACCTAGTGGTTTTTACTAGGAGTGATTGCTGTCTTCAATCTAGTGGGCTGAGCGCCTTCATTTTAATGGGACACACACACACACACACACACACACACACACACAGAGTGAGAGACAGAGAGGAAGAGAGAGAGAATCTGTAACTACTGACAGTGTGGGCATTGACACAAGATCATCTTCTTTTAATGTTATCATCTTCTACAATTTGTGTGGGAGACCTGCTCGTCCCCTCCCCATGCCTTTTGAAACATCAAGGGTGGCACACCTGGATTCTCATTCTTATGTAAAGTCGGTGACCSTGAGGCATCTGGTGATGAGCCTCCAGTATTAAGGTTCAGTTGTGAATGGCTGTTCCTTATTTGGCAAAGATTTTAACTATGGCATTTACTTGTTTCTATCCTAAATAAGAATAAGCAAACTTGTCGGACAGCAAGATTGACCCTAAGGACTATTCTAAGAAGGAATTTTCAAGAAACTACAGCAAAGAGAAAGGCTTACGTTTTGTGTTGGTGTCAGAATCTCAGGGCTTGACGGGAGGTTATTTGCTCTCTTGCCACTTGCATTCACACCACCTGAACTTATTGGGAATGTAGACTCTTGAGCCCCACCCAGAGAGTAGGGTAGAAGAACAGATCTTCTGGCCATACTTTCTCAAGAGGAGAAGCAAAATCTGCTTTGCATCTAGATCCCCAGGTGATTTGCAAGCACTTTTAGGCTTGCAAAATGCTGGTCTCCTCTAGTGGTTTTGGAGTCCTTTGCAAATACGCTGGCTAAATGTTCATCCAAGCTCTGCTTAATAATTCCTGGGACAGATAGTCAAGGTCATTCAGCAGATGAGAATGGTCCTTTTAGTTTTCTTTTTAGATCAGGCTGGTTAGGCAGATAAGTGGGCATAAGTGGATAAATTGCTGCGCTGTAATTTGCAAGGGCAGGTCAGCTGTTTGAGTTACACTTTAAAACAGCTCATCTTTATAGCAAACTGCTTAAAAGGTTTGGAGGAAACAAGATGAAGACTTGGTGTGTGACAGAGTATCTACTTTTAGGAAAATGTAGCATTATTGTCTGTGGGTGGGGTTAATGCAAATTGGTTGTCATCCATTATTCTGAGTACTTGTTTAAAATGCCATATGCTTTTTTTTTTTTTTATACTAATATGAGCAGATTGATAGCAGTGGCTCTCAAACTCTAGTGTGTATCTGAATTACCTGGAGATCTTGTTAAAACAGACTGCTAACAATCTGTTATTGTTAAAACCAGATTTGCCCCACTTTTAAAGTTTTTAAAATTTTCTTATTTATTTATGTATTTGAATTAATTATACATAAACTTTTAAAGTTTTTGATTTAGTTTATGGGGTGGGAACTGACAATTTGCATTTCTAGTAATCCCCAGGTGATTGATTCTAATGATGAATTATTAGAAATAGTACCTTCAAATGCATTTTTGGCACCACAGGATCTAGACTCTTCTTTGACACTGTGTTCTGATGATACAGAATAGAAGGCCAAATTTCAGTAATCTGTCGTCAAGGGATACAGAGTACCTGGGGCCATTTATAGGAATAATCTAACAACATTTTCTGAGACCATTGATTTCAAACTCTTCTGTTCCAAAGTTACATCTAAGGTGCTAAAAAGCAATGTAGTTTTTCTCCCTTTCCTACTCTGCTCGTTTCTGCCTTCCTCTGATGGCAGATGGATAGTTCTGGATAGTTGATCACACCGTGTTTGATCTTGAAATTCTCAGTGCCCACTGGTTGGCTGATCAGTGGCCTCTGTGGCTGAGACCTTCAGCATAGGGCTGGTTCTGAGCTAGGTGACTTCCAGGTCATTGTAATTACATTTACACCCTTGGTACCTTGTAGGCTCAGACCCTAAGGGGAGAATGCTACGATGTGAGGACCAAGCTCTTGTAAGTCCTGGTACCACCTTAAGGGACATCTCCCACACAGCACAGGGCCCAGGCATCTCTGATCCGGGTTGCTTTGGGTGAAATTTTTCCACCTGTGGCAGCTGCTGAGCTTTGAATGATCTTCTCTGACCTTTTTGGTGCCACTTGTCTAGAGATTGTCTGCAGACTGCTCGGTAACAGAGGCTTCCTGCCAGTGCAAACCCGTGACTGCCCTTTACACTGTAATTGAGTGGAGACAGGATTTACCTCATCAGAGCACCTTGCCTGACTCCATTTCATATTATCCAAAACAGAGACCCAGGACTATTTTTTTTTATAAAAAATTTATTGAGATGATGTAATTATAGGCTTTTCTTTAAAAATTATTTGCAACTCACTGGCCCTGAGAAAAGGCWTTTTTTTTCTTTTTTTGTTACATTCATTTGATTCAGTCCCTTATAAACCCCACACCTCATAAACAAGAGATTAGAAACTAGACCAAAAAAAAAAAAATTTCATTCTAGATTCGTTCTGGTTTGCAGGTGGGTGTAGTCACAGAGAATGTTCACTTGACATGTGTGAAAGACCCAGGGAGTTTGCAGTTGTTTAGTGTTGATGCAGATGGGGCCAAAAGAGTATCAGGTTAGTCTTTTGTGGTTCTGACAACACAGGGATTATTGGGTGTCCCCTCCCTCCCCCATCCCTCTGGCTTCCTTGTATCACTTCCTTTATTCTAGGTTTATGCTCGGAAAAGGAGCAGACTGAGTGAATGAAAGCTTCTGACTAGCACCGAATGCTTAGGGAAAGAAAACTACCCTTTGTTCTTTGTCTGTTTTTCCAAATCTCTTATCTTCAGTTTCCTGGGTGATAATGGGTCAAATGGGGGAGTGGTCAAGCTGGATACCAATCCTAATTCTGTCCCTGCCATATTATCTGCTCCAATATGGTGACATTACCTCTCTGATACTCAGGCTTCCTTTCTGCAAATGGCAGTTAATGTTTCAAAAACATATCCAGGGCTGGAGCCTAGGCAGGGAAGGATGGACATGGGGGTTATTTAGTCATTTTGACCAATTCTGTTGTAGCCACTTAAATTTCAGCTAAAGGGACATTTTTAGTTGGATAAGGTATCAGCCCTTGATCAGAGGATTTTAAAGAGATGGTTGAAAGGAGAAAATCCATCAGTTCCTCTTTTCTTGTGAGGGACCTCCAAATGGGATTTGGAACATTGGCAATGCTGCCTAAGGGCAAGACCAAGTGGCCTTGGATCAAGCACATCTGAGAGACATGTTATTACCTTCGAAAGGACCCATGTAGCCAACTACCACTCTTCTGACAGAAGGAGACAGCTCAATGAACTCATGATTTGGGGAAAGGGAATTCCAAGACACGAGCGAGAGTGTCCACCTTTCACACGGCAGTGCCCCTCTGCATTTTCCTTTCCTGACTTTAGATTTTGTGGGCTACGAGTTCCCATGACGGCCACAGAGAAAGGCCAACTATTCAGATGATACACGAACTTTTAATTTAGTCTGGGGTGAAATTTTCATCACTGCTAGTCCTTAGTGTGGAACTGAGAAATTTCATGCTGGACGATCCTGTAGGTAGAATCTAAACTCTCAGGGGAGGGATTGTGCCTGGTTCATCTTTGAATCCCTCACAATGTCTGTTAGGCGATTCCCTGAGGTTTGATCAATTGAATGTGAAATCTTCAGGGTCTGCAGTAAGTCAATACTGTAGCTCTGGTATTGGACTGTCCAGCTCTTCTCTCAAAGAACAAGGACTTTTGCAGTGAAGGGAATCAAGAGAAAAATCATTATTGGCAATGTTGGAATGGGAAATTAAGATTATATTGGAATCAGCATCTCTACTTCAAGTGGCTGGAGAAGTCATCCTAAGTCTTACATATTTATAAGGTATTGCTTTGAATACAGAAATCCTTGGGGGCAAAAAGGCATTTCCCTCCATTTTTCATCTGTAAGACTTGGAATGGTAAGAGGCTGAGTTCAGAAACTTGGGTCAAGTGGCCAGAATGAGATGTTCTCATCTCAGGGAAGAGGAACATCCTGCCCTGGTCTGTTTTCATATTCATACAAGAACCTCGGTAAAAAGTCCATCCTTTCTCTCCAGTTCTGAAACTTGGTGACTTTCAGATCACACCAGGTATTTGGCTTAATCTCGCCATTTGAGATATAGTACCAGTCATCTTAGAGGCTGAAAAATATATCACCTGAACACTCTTGAAAGACATCCACAGCTGCTGGAATCCAGCAGAATCACACCACCCTTCAAGCAGATTGAGACTGAACCCTTCACAGTGAGGCCCTCTAGGCTCACACAGAAGGCAGAATGGGGGAAGGAAGTGACAGTAAGAGGAGGCTGGCCGCCACCTGTGGTCCGGTAAGAGGCAGGGACAGAGCGAGACTAATGAGCCCAGATCGGCTCCTCAATTCCAGTGTTTGTGAACCATAGTTCATCTATTTGCCCCCCACCCCAGGCTGGTATCCTTTTCAGTAAGGCCTAGGGGGAATTCCTCTTGCTTGTGTGCCCCCAACTCAACTCAGAAATGGCAGGAGGACAAGCCTGGGGCCTGCCAGCTTCACAGGGAACTGCTGCTGGTGGAGCATAGAAGTACCTCAGAGAGCTGAGAGACGCTAACCCGATGGAGGAGCCAAGGAAACAGGGAGGAATGGGGAGGGGGTGCTTTTCAAGGCAGGTCTAATTTTCTGAATTAAAAAAGACGGTATTCCCAAAATTGGATATTCGAATCTATAATGGAAGAGTTAATGTGGATGGCTAGAAAAGGAAGAAAAAAATCTAAAATCTGTTATCAGCAGAAGTACTAAGATGGCACGACCCTCCTTCTGTAAGACACTACCAACCTTATTTTGAGGGGTGAAAAAGAGCCAGGAATGGATCCGTTCTGAAATACAACRGTGAAGGAAGAAGGAGAAAGTAATGGATCTGAGGAACTTGCTTTCTGCCCAGGCTGGGCAGACCCTGGCTGCATCTGGGACTCCATTCTGGAGTACTCCCCTCACAAATGTTCTGTGTTCAGTGGGGACCAGGAAACTTTACACTTGCAAGCTAATCCCAAGCAGCCGGGGGGCCTTCCAAACAACTTGCCTTATCTGACRCTGTAGCTGGTTGGTTCTCCCCGTCATCTCGGGGACGGCCTGCTGGAATAGCACTTATCTTTCTGGAGTACAGCAGCATCAGTGAGGGTTCTGGCCTCCCTCAGATGGGTGGCCAGATGCTGGCATAGGGGTCTAATTTTGGCTGCTGGACACAAAGCACCCAGGTCACTGATTCTATTTAGGTGCCAAGAATCCCCAAGATTCTGCAGGAGACTGAACTCGGCTGAAAGGCATGTGAAGTGCAACAGCAGGCGGAGGGGTTGGGGGGGCGGGACACAGGGGAGCCAGGAAAGGAAGGTGAGCAAGAATGAAAAAGAGAGCTCTCCTTCTCGTGTGATCATTTTTTAAAAGCATCTTTTTTTTTTTCTTTTTTCTTTTTTTTTCAGCCAAGACCCAACTGCAACAGAAACAAACCTGATCCACGTGGCAGGAAAAAGAGGAACCTGATCCCTTCTGCAAGTATTCTTTCCTGACCAGCTGGGCTGGCTGTACTTTGTGAGATTTGCAAAAAATATATATATATAATAGATATATATTTCCATAGGGAAACAACCTCCGATGTCTTCCCTTATATGAACGATGAAAAGTCAAACTGCAGGTTCTTAAAAAAACAAAAACGAAAACAAAAACACCATGAGACTAACAACAGGTAGAGGGGTGAGGGTGAGGAATTACAGGTGGACAGATTCCAAAGAAGGAAATGTGACTCTCGAGTCCCAGGCTCGTGCCCTCCGCCAGAATTCCAGCCCCGCCTTTGCCGGGTGGTTTGTCTAAGGTGCTCTGGGGTCCCTCTTGGTCTGCAAGAGAAGTGTTCCTGCCATCGCTGGGTCTCTTCCTTTCCAGCCGGCCTCAGCCCGCCAGCTTCATCAAGCCTCCAGTGATCCTGGTGGGCAGGGGCTCCCTGGACCTCAGCCCACCCAGGTGGCGTGTGGCTGCCTTCAGCACTCGTCCTCCTGGTATATTTGTTCATCCAGCTCCTGGGACTCAAGGTGCTCCAGTCGATCTGTTCGGCCACTCATGATTTCATCTGGGGTTTTCATAAACCTTTGGGAGAGAAAAATGGAGGAGTCAAGAGAGCACATTTCTTCAAAGCTATCTTTATACTTCTGAATTCCAACCCATAAAGCGAGGCCCTGTCATCTTACAGTAGCTGGAGAGGTGCTGATCCCAAACGCTAATGCCAACATGGTGCAAATTAGCAAAAGGTACCCCTTCCTCTGATTGCCTAAAAAGTGGCAAAATGACTATAACGTCTAGTGTGACTAGGGTGGGGTAGACAGCACCCTTCAGACCTATGGGGCATGTTACTGCAGGACCACGAGGGAACTCAGGCACAGCTCATGTGTCTGTGTTTCTGATTTTTTAGAGAATTAGGTTTTACAAAGACCCACAAGAGTCATATATCCATTTTTATTCYAGACCATGGGGCCAGGGAATGGTATTCAAAACTTGAATTTAACATGAAGGATACAATTGAATATTAAATTAAAAAAAATGGCTCACTTGGAAATACCATCAGTGGCCTGTGTCAACCATGATTGACATGGTTCAGGAAGGTGGCCTGGTTATAAATGTTCTTACAGTGGGAGTGCTCCTTCTATAGCCCTAGCATGTCTGCATGCTGTTCCCTTTCCATACACTGCCTGCAGCAGACAAACTACCTTAAAACACACATTGTCTCTCATCATCTTTGTTCAAAAAGCCTAAGATGTATCAAGTCAAAGATGTACTCTCTGGCCTGCCTCTCTGGGTCTTCTATCATTCCTACCCAGGAAAATCTTATCGTCCACTGCTCACTTCCATGAACCCTCCATTCCAGCCTGCCAGTCTTTTTCTTACATAGACCATCGTTCAGGTCTTCCCATAAATCTTTTGCTTTGTCCTTATCAGGAACCCTGTTCACTCCTTTCACTACTCATTCTTTGTGTTCTGCTTTATCATCAAAGAGCTGCTTAATGTGTCAGTCCATACTGAAATCTACCTTCACTCAAAACCTAAACTTCTTTTTCTTTGATTCATTTTTAATTTTTAACTTTTTTTGGCCTTGAACATGCTAGGAAAGTGCTCTACTGAGCTACACCCCAAATTCCTTTAATATCTAAAAATCTTGTAAAGAAGCCATCATTTTATAGCAAGTTTGGCTTTCAACACTCATTTCCTCAAAAATAACCAGTGGCTCCCTCACTAATAGCACTATTCTTTGTTCTTGCTGAAAATCTTTTATTGGAAGCCTACGAACCTTCTAATTACTACTGATTTTCTTCTCTACCCACTATTGCTAAACTTCTGAAGCAGTGTGATGTGTAGCATCAGTCTTCTGCTTTTATCCTTTAGCTAAAACTTCTCCCTCAACATCCTGAAGTCACTAACGATCCCTCTAGGCCAACTCCACAGACAGGCTGTACTTGGTTCTCGAAACTACCGCCTTCTCCTTTGGACTACTTTGTCATAGTAATCTTCTGCTCTTTTATACCAAGTTTGTCATGAAATATTTATTGAAACCCTCCCTAAGGTATAAAACAGAGTTATATAAAGTACAATCCTCTACCTTCTGGGAGCTTATGATCCAGTTGTGGGGAGAAGGATTTCATACATACACCTATTAAAAATAGGAATCAAGGTGTGTTTAAGGGCCAAGGGAACCCAAGAAATGATGGAGGAAGAGCATGGGAGAGCTGAAGAAGGCTTTGTAAAGGTAGGAGAACTGAGGCGGGCCTTGAGGGCATGTGCACTTTAAAGGTAAAGGGATATGTACTTGAAGCAAAAGGAATCATATCAGTGTCACAGGAACACCAGAAGTGTGTATTACGAATTCAGGAGGCAGGGGAATGGTGGACCAGACATAGAAGGAGATTGCTGAATTAATCCTGGTGGGAACGTTCAAAGCACAGACATCAGCTTCCTTTGCCAGGGAAGCAGGAACAATGCTTTTGCCTTTCCTCTACCTTCCCAATCTCATGCAAGAGCCTGTCATTGGTAGTAGACTCCAACCTGGCACCATGTGGCATCAAATCCTGGGAAACATGGTTCCCAGGCTTCTAAGCCTCTGCAACACAGAATGGAATGGACAATTCAGTACCATGCCTCACTGAGATACAGGAATTAAAAATAGTTGTAGTTTCAAGACGGATTAAGAATGGTGATGCGGATGATGAATAGCAAGAATTCTGGGAGGAATTTCTAGTTCTTTCTTAATATGTCTGAAAATCTAATGTGATATTTAAGAGGGAGTCCTTAAAGTGTTAAAAGAAGCTCTTGAACATGCACATTTGGAATTTCAGGGAAATTTTTAGAGCTTGATTTAAATTTGGTGACAAAATGGAGGTGACAAAYGAAGTTGTATAATGGGATCAATTCATTCAGGAAAAAAGTATAGAGTAGGAAGAACAGGGACCCAAGGATTAAGTTTAAGATGAAAGATGGAGAGAAGATATCAACAGAGCCAGAGTTAGGAGGGTTCTTTTGTATTTATTCCATCCTTCCATTATTCATTTCTTGAATAGCCTTTTCTGTTTTTGTGGAAGACTGCAATTATTTTTACTATTCCTTAATTTCCACTCCTTCTCAAAGCTAAAGCCTAATTGCTCTTTCCAATAATTACCACCAGCCCAGAGAGCTCATGTGCTCATCCATAGTGTTATTTTCTACCTGTATATGGATAACTCCAAATCCACATCTCTAGTCCCAACTGTGGCTCTTTTCTTTGTCCACTTGCCCAAACTCTTAACCTAAGGTCATATTTGTTGCTCGCATATTCTCCCACATCCTTGATGCCACTGCATCAATTACTAACCGTGTCGGGGGACTACTTCTACCTTTCCTGAGTGGTCCTTCATATACCTTCTTTTTCTTTTCTAATTCTTGAAATCATAATCTATATGGTAGGATACATGGCCGGAACTCATTAGCTGTGGGAATTCTGAAAAGAAGAATATCTAGTGCAGGGGCTTTCACACTTTTTTGACTGTGAAGCATTAGAAGAAATATATTTTACATCATGACTCATCACACACACACACACACACACACACAAACACACACACATACACGGCTGAAACCAAATCTTTGTGAATCAACAGTCACTCTTCATGTGATGCAGTCTGATGTTTTCATCTCTATCTTATCCTGTTTTCTATTGCATTAAAAAAAAAAAAAAACCCAAAAAACAGAGACTGACCCATTAAGCCTATTTCATGACTCACTCTGGGACATGACCTGCAGTTTGACAAACCCTGGTTTATGAAGCTGAGAACCTGGAAGTTCAGGTTTAATTCCTTACTTTGACATTGACAATGGCTACTCGGATTGTTCCCTATACCTATACTGGACTTTAGAGCCAGACAATACTATTTGGCCACTGCATTATTTTAAAGGTGAGTCAGACTGTGTTTATATTTAGTTTTGGCTTTACTAGAGGCCAGACATCAATATAAAAAAGTGGTTTTTCCCCCCTTCAATCTCAACAAACCAGCACCTGGTATCCAATTTGTAATATTTGCAATAATGGCTTTGGGGATCAGATAGGCAGGTAGAGATCTTCACAATCTCCCTCCTCCCCCTTATTTAAAGAAGACAATATCCTCCTAAAAGAAGGAAAGGAAGAAAACGGAAGTGCTACCTGAACAAAAGCCTTTGTCCTGGCTCCTTCCTGATAATGTTTAGTTTGTAGTAGTGGCGCAGGGCTCTGGACATTTTCTCATAGGTCATGTTTGTTCTGTTCTGTTTGTTCAAAGGAGGAAGAGAGAAAAAAAGCACAAAGACACAATGAAATGAACCTCAGAAAAGGAACTGGGGGAGCTATTAAAATAAAAACTCCTCAGCCGGTCCACGTGGCCCTGCCAGCTTGGGAACACTACCTGCTAACGTGCCACCTTCCAGACCCCTTCGTTCCTATTCCTTCCCTTTGGCTTTCACATACACCGAGGCCAAGGTTTTCCTTTAGGGTGAACCAAACTTTGTCAGAGGCCTGGAGCTCTGGCCAATAAAACCCCAGCCACCTCCCTCAGGTCCTTCCTCCAAGACTGCTCTCTGCTATGCCCCAGCGATTTCCTGAAGATTCTCCCAATCTGGGTCCTCCTTCACCTCCTGACCCATATAGAATTTATTTTTTTGTTGCAATGACCTTTCTTAAATGTGTTTCTGGTCTGTAATTTTAAGGAAGAGATTTTTGTTATTGTTGTTGAAATTCCTACTGTGGCAGCAAGAATACAGTGGTGGTGAGCCCTTGAGCCACGGTACAATCTGGGAGTTGCAGAAAGTATTTCTCAGTGACTCACACACTGAAGTGTCTGTCAGTGAAGCCTGGCCATATTTGGTCATGGCCTGCATCAGGTCCTTCTCAACCCAGCCAGAACATGGACTGCCTTCTTAGGAGGCTGCAGGCCTGGCAGAGCTCAGCTGTGCATCCCTGCCCTTTCGGTCCCTGAGCTGAGGCTGTGCCACCCGGTGCCACCAGGATACCTCCAGCTTGACCTCAGATCTACCTATGTATTGTTTGACCTGGATCATGATTCTCCACTTATTAGATCTGCACATTGGAACAGTCTCCCTTTTTATAAAAGACTTCCTTTGTAAATTCCATTTCCTCCTAGTTTGGAAAACTGTGGGGCAAACTTGCTGCACTGTTTTCTTGTAAAAACAAGGTTTTACAGCTCAGAGACATATTTTTCCATGTAGAAATGGACTTCTGTGAACATGGGAGTTTCCAACTGAGCAGGACAGAAGTGACACTTCCCAAAGGTCCCCCATGAGTCATAGAGCTCATAACACTTCCCTGTCACCTAGTTTCTATGACAGCAGGGGTGGCAGGGCCAGGTGGAGGGAAGTGGCACTGAGGGATACTTACAATGCAGTCTATCAAACTGAGATTTACTGAGTTAGTGGGCATTTGGCATAAGTAACATGGAAAGAGGCATCTTTAATAATTTCCTTCCTTTGTGACTGTCTTCCAATGAGGAATAAACTAAATGATAATGGGCAGACTTAGGAAGTAGAACAGACAATGACCCTCCAATCCAGAGATGCACATTTTTTTTTTTTTTTTTTTTTTTGGCACTAGTTCATAGAGCAAGTATCTGTTGCCCTTTTACCTTATGGTTTCCCCACAGTCGAGCCAGTCCATTGGGATCCACTATCCGGAATATTTTGGATTCTTTGTCCTCCCATCGGATGAAGTTTTCGTACCGGCTGTCAGAAAGCAACTGATAGACGTAATCCCAAAGCAGTCTACAGTCTACAGAGGAAAATGAAGGGAAAATAGCGTTGAAAATGTTTCCTGTTGAGGCATGAACAACAAGAAATCAGAAAAGAATTCAGTAATCACTTTTGCCAGGTGTGAACTACAGTGAAGAATCTATGGTCCAGAGAGAGTGAGGGAGACTGTGCTGGAGAAGTACGATCTTTGACCTTTGGAGGCTTAGAGATCCTCTGGGCCCACCACCCCCTTTCACCGATGAGGACATCATGACCCAGAATGAGGAAAAGACTTATTCTTGGTCATAGCCAGAACTTGAACTTGAACACAGTTCACTGAAAGATAGAACAAGCTCTACCTGGGAATGAGTTGGCTTTGGTGGACGCCTGCAAACGGGCTAGCAGGGTGAAAGGTGGAAAGAATGTTTTAAAGTTCCAGAGAAAGTGGTGTGTTAAAAAATGGTGAGGTTAAAAGATTCTTTTGATGTTGGTGGAGACACTGAATGAATAAACATGAGAAGACTGGGCTGGGCCAAAACACGGCCCCAAAGCAATGCAAACCTATGTAGTGAAAATCTATGTAGCTTGGTGATGCTGACAGTGATAACCGTGGGGTTTTTAAAAAGAAATAGATAACTCTCAGGATATCACACTTTGGAGACCTTTAAAATTGCTTTACTAGAATCATGGTAGAGAGGAATCTGGTGCAGAAAATCCATTCTCTACTGGCAGAACCAATGTTTTATTATGTAGTCAGGCAACAAATATTTATTAAGTGACTTAGAACAGCCCTGGTTCTGTGCTAAGCCAAAGCTTTTGGCTGTGGAGTGGCAAATTAAAAGAGAAGACATGGGATGCACCCCCCTCCCCTGTTCTGTTTCTTTCTGGGTTTGTGCTGTACAGGTATGTGGTTTGTTCTCTAGCAGAGCCTTGATAGGTAGGTGGACATAGACATGTACCTTCTAGGTTTAGATGACGCAGGACTGGCCTCCAGATGAGAATTAGAGGTGTCATTTCCAGGTGGTCATTGTATGATTTTGGCCCTAGCCAGAAGAGCTGGTAATGGAAGATCACTGAATGACAAATATGTGTTTGGCATGTATAGGTATTATTTCTAATCCTCAAAGAGGTCACTGGGATTTGAATTCCTGGCTCCTGCACTACAATGTGCTATCTGGTACACTGGGAAGGGCCTGGCCTGGCGCACCTGGGAAGGGCATGTCCAGTTGAGACTTGGAATATCTTATAGTCGGCACGTTCACATGTCAGAGACAGGAAGTCACCCTTCTTTGGAGAGAGTCTATTTACAAGGGGAATTTAGTCAGGCAACCACTAATCTCCCTGAGATTCTATTTCCTCATTTATGAAATGAGAATCGCAACACTTACTTTACAGGATTATTGTATTAGTGATAATGTGGGTGAAAGGAAAGTAATAAAAATAACAACAATATTTATTGGGTGCTGTTTGCAGGCACTGTACTGACTGTAATCTTCTGTGAGCGTGGTTCCACTTGGCCCTTACACTACCATGAGGCAGGTGCTGTTGCTATTCCTATTTAATAGGCCAGGAAGCTGGGGCCAAGAGGGCTTGGTAATTTACTCACTCAGGGTACATCACGATGCTAGGCTCTGATTGTCTGTAAAGCCTGTGCCAGGCCACAGTTYCGGATTCGACTTCTATTCTCAGAGACGCTGTACAATGGGTACCTATCTGTAAAAACCTAAGGACTTCCTAGGGCAAAGTTTAACCATGTAGTGCATCCTTTGTGAAATCCAGCTTTCTCCCTGAAGGGCAGAAGGAACTGGCAAAAAATATGGGGTTTTCCAGGTAGCTTGGTCCTTGAAGGAACTACCATGAAGCTTAAATTGACCGTAAATCTTTTTAGTATCCCTTAGTGTATCATTTCTTTTGTATTGTCTCTGCCTAAAAATTAATGTGATGCGTGATTTGTTGTGTTTTGGAAAAAGACAAGTGGCATCCTTTTTGAAACAATGATACCACAGTCCTGGAATTTGAACCCCATTCTAACATCAGAAGCTGGTGAGCCCCTTCCTCTGTTCACACCCCTTCTTGAGGGTTCATTTGTTATTGCCCCAGTGTGGGCTGAGGTGGGGGAAGCAAGCGGGCCACCAACCCTAGTGTCAGTGTAAGTACCCTGAGAAGTCGGTACCACACTATTGCAGACAGAATAATCTAGCTCGTTTTTAAAACACTTGGAGAGGATGACTCCAGTCTCTACGCAAAGCAGAGAAGTAGACTGTGTCTTTACCCCTCAGCTACCTCCCTGTCCTGCCTCACTTTCATTATAAAGGGAACAGGGAACTACTAGGGTCTGAATGTCAAGTGCCCCCTGCCATTCACATGCTGAATCCTATCCCCCAAGGTAATAGTATCAAGAGGTGAGTCTTTGGGAGGGGGTTAAGCCATGGGGCTCCGTCCTCATGAGAGGGATTAGTGCCCTTATAGAAGGAGTCTGAGAGAGGTCCCATGCCCTCTCATCATGAGAGGACACAGCAAGAAGGTGCTCTCTGTGAACTAAAAGATGGGCCCTCACCAGACCTCTAATCTACCTGCAGCTTGATCTTGGACTAACCAGTCTCCAGAAGTGTGAGCAATGTATTTTTGTTATCTATGAGCCACCCAGTTTCTGGTGTTTTGTTACAGTACCCTCAATGGACTAAGACAAGAACTGAGCTGTGGTTCAATTATCCGCTCTTTGTCCCGCCATCAAATGGCAGGCATATTTTCATTTTCCATAGTTCCATCCAACTGGAAAACATCTGACAAAATCAAATATTATCATAAAAATGTCAGTAAGTCAGGAAGGACAAAGGTGGTTTGCATGTAACCCCTCCCAGGTCTCCTCATACATTTAGGATCACCTGTACTACAAAGAGTTGAGGATACCTTTGGATGCCTCTGGAATGAGAATGAATTCTCCAGTGCATTCATTTTAACACAATTTTACATAAAGAAATTACCCAGTTGTTGTGTGTGTGTGTGTGTGTGTGTGTGTGTATGTGTGTGTGTGTGTGTGTGTATGTGTAAAGAAATTTTACCCATAAGAAAGGTGAGTGAGATGCTCTGGGCTCTGGGCAGAAGGTTTTGCACCCTAGAGGCCCATTGTGAGCTGAAACCCATTGCTGATGGTTCTAACATCCATCACCATCTGCACAGGGTTTCCATTGCTTTGTTTCTATCCTCTCTTTTACATTATAGTGCTTACTAGTTCTCATAAAATAGTAAAATGTCGAGCAGACGATTTCTCCAAGCCAGGGCGACCCAGCACTGGGGTATCATGTTGGATTTTCAGAGGCATCAAACGTGGGTCTTGTTTTCATGTTATCTGCTCTTTGGGTGACAAATAAAGGACAAAGCTTAGTAGAAAACGAACTTTACCTATAAGTTTCATGGACATTTGTATATTGCACACTTTTTTTCTTTCATAGACACGAGGGAAAGAAAACCCCCAAAAAACTAAAACAGAGCAAGCTTCCAATTGATCACTTTAAGTGACATTTAATCCAGCAAAGCCAACATCGGTTGAGTAATAAAAAATCTGTTGACATTCAAGACATATTGAATTATGCTGTCACTAATGGAGGTAGCAACAGGAATTTTGTGGCATAAAGAAGTTGTTTCAAGCTCAGAGTATAAATGGCTTTTACAACACTATCGATTGCTGTTTTTTTTAGTTAAAAATTATGTCCAGATGTTAAAAATATCTGCCTAATCACACAACCACCCCCCCCAACTCTTTTTTTTTTTAAACTATTGAAGTTAAAGCCATGCAAGTTATTTTTGGTTTTAAGATTTCTACTAAATAAAAGGTATGCCCTCTTTCATTCCCTGGATCCTTTGGAAGCTGTTATCGGGGTCCACCTGGACTCTTCCATGTCTGTACAAATACAATTTTCTTTGATCATCAATGAAAATATTTAATACAATTTAATAAAACTCACCTCACTATAAAACAACTGAATATGCATGTGTAAGACTTTTTTAAAAAATCACATAGTATTCACTAATTTTAAATGCATTTCTCTTAAACTAAAGGGCTGCCCTCTATATCAAGACATGGTTATTTAGAGAAACGTCCATTACTTGGATTGTCTCTTCCAGGAGAGGAAGCTTATGAAAGGGTTTAGCTAGAATCAAGTTCTACTTTCCAATTGCAGAAAGAGAGTTCTCTCTGTTTCCTGCTGGGTGAAGTACCCTAGGCATCCGCTGCTAAAAGGCATTGTAAAAAAATCCCTTCCTGTGGTTAAAGGAGAAATATTTTCACTCCCACGTCTGTCTCCTACCAGAGACTCATTGTATAAACTCATTGAGCGGAGACCGTAAAAAAGATGGGCAATTTACACATAACCAACATGCTACTATGCTTTAAACCAGTGATTCTAAACCAGAGGGGCAATTATGCTCTCAAGGGCATATTCGGCAAATGTTTGGAGACATTTTTGTTAAGCTGACAGAGGTGGAGAGAACTTCTGGCATCCAGTGGGAAGAGGCCAGAGATGCTGCTAAATATCTTCTAACACACAGGATAAGCCCCCACATCAAAATTATTTGGCCCAAATATCAAGAGTGCTAAGATTGGGAAATTGCTTGTAGAAACAGTTTTTATAACATTCAGGGGACCATCTGCTACCTAGTCCTTTTTTTCCCTTTTCCATTCTAGATTGGCTATTACCTAGAAGCAGAAAGTTGATAAATCCAATGCAGCCAACTCTGTGTTGATACGTAGAGGTGTGTTTACAATGGGCAATTGCTTGTGTTTTGCTGTGGCTTAGGAAAACAGAAACCATATGTGCACAGTGGCATGCTGGGGGCGGGAGAAGTAGAAGCAAAKAATACAAATCCATGGTTCCCCGCTTTTATAGAGCAGCAGGACTGCAGCTGCATACAGGCTGGACCATCCCACCTCCGCTGACACGTGGTGTGGGGCAGGCTGGGGACACGGGCCTCAAACTCAGGTTCCAGTTGAGATTCAGCCACAGGGGTGGGTGCAGCCTGGGATTTCACATCCAGGGACTA